TCCCCCCCACCCCCCTCCCAACCCGAAAGCAAGTTTTTCGGGCAAAAATCTCATAACTAGGTTAGAAAATCGGGCTATCTCAGATATTTCGCCGCTCCTCGAACATAACCCTAGCTTCACCACTGATTGTACCAGATGAAAAACATTGATCTACTGTTATTCAATGTACAGTAAAACCCAGCTCACATGACCACCTTCATTATACAATCACCTTTAATATACGACCATAGAATATTCCCTAGAGTGGTCTCTTAATACAGTTTCTACTGTAATACAATTTCAGACTCACTCAGCCATGATACTGTCTTATAGAAGCACTGGCCAAGGTTCATTTACTAACACTAGACAGTAATCTGATAGCATATTGTTATCACCAGGAAATAATTTAGCAATAAATATCTCTTATCAACCACAAATCAAAACTACAGGTTGACCTAACAGGATTGGTGGTTTAAAACATCTTATCAACATGAGCTAAATATTCATATTCGGAAATTCACTGTCTAACAACAGTCATTAATTGGACAATAGTCTTTATATATACATCATGTAGTATCGAAGTTCTTAACCTTTGTCAGGAAGCGACCCTATTCCAGAATCAGGAAACCCTTCAAAGTGAAAAGAAAGTTTCATGTTTACTGAAATTAAGGCTATTGTAATAGACCTACTTCGTTCTCAATGACATTATTGTTCTATATTTGACAGATATTATTGATCAATATGAAAGTTGTCTATTACTGACAAGTTATGCATTGTAGAAAACATTTATTTCATGAACCATATCAATCTATCAATCAAAAAAAATTTCAGACTAGTCTGTGACCTGGAAAAAAAGTTCGCGCCACAGAGGCTGGGAACCCATGATATGGTGCAACTTCTCTATGAGCTACGTGTAACTGTGTGTTCATTGATCTGTAGATAAATGCTGTAGTCTCTATCCTAATGGACAGTGGGCAAGACAACATGTACGTTCACACCATAATGTGGGTGTACAAAACCTCAAAACTCTTTGAGTATATTGTGAAGAACTCAGACATCATGAATTATCAATTTACCTGAATTTTATTCAAACCAGCAGCTAAACTTTCCAATCTGTGGCCAAACATTTTGAATCAGAAGTAATTTCCAGGCTTTATCACATGTATAACACTATTATATGTGTGTCACAATCTCTCAATGTTTTGGACAGTTTTTCTTCTTCTCTATAGTTTGGATTAAATTTTACAAAAATAAATCTTCAAAACACTGAATGATTTTTTGTTATATCCTGTTAAAATTTCACAATTTCAAAATGAATAGAAGTCTTAGAAACGGATGAGTTCACAGTAAAAAAATACAAAATCTATTCATCTTACTTTGCTGATACGTCTAAATTCCTTTTCTACACCAAGCTGTACTAATGATAACCTGAACAATCAAACACATGTTTCAGTTTCCACAAGGATGATAATTTTTATCACTTACAATCTATGAGTATTCTAAATTATTAATGATTCAAAATTTGCATATGTCATGTTTTTATTTTCTCGGCATGTGCTATTGTCATTTCAATCTGATATCTTGTTTATAACTTTCACCTAACTAATTAGAGATATATATGATTGGAATGTGAGAAGTTTAATATTATGTATAGTAGATTAATAACACTCTATAAAAAACAATATCTTATTATAATATATTATATAACTTTAAATATCCTTTTAAACATTTCAGCTGGTAGAGTTCAATTTCAGCTGGTAGAGTTCAATTTCAGCTATAAATATTACTTTTCTGAATAAAAACAACAGACAAAATATTGATTTTAAGTAAAGCAACAGACAGACTGGGCAAATTTTCATAGCGAATGGTTCGGACGAGCCGATCACCAGCAAACTTCGTCAAGTGTGTGTCTTCGCTTCTCTCTGGACACCACCATATTTTCATCATGTGACTAAGTGCCGTGAGCATACGTAATTTCATTTGCTGGGGAGTTATCAAATCAGCCAATCACCTAGTGTGTCCACTGCATCAGATGAATGATGGTGGTGAATAATTCGGCTGAAATACTTAGCTTAACTTTTCAAATCATTCACTATAATATATATTCAAATTATTCACTATAATATATATTTAAATTATAGCTTTATTATTAAGCAGTTATAATAATATACTTTACATGTCCTCTTAGTTATATATACCTGAATTATTCATCCCTAACAAAATCTTATCTATTACCTGTTTATAGTCAAATTATATCATATATTTAATACAACTATAATATATTCCTTGTTGATAATTAGCAACATTTTAAATCATTTAAAGAGACAGATACCCCATTTTCGAGGGTTGATTTGAGTCTAGATATCAGAAGAATATTGATTTTTATAATTTCAGTGATTTCACCGTAGAAAAGATTAGACATCCATAGTTCATGTATCTTGTTATCTTTACGTGTAATTTGTACCTTGTTATATCATGAATCTTATCTTTGTTAGGTAAGCCAGTGCTTTTATTAAACTATGTTCTCATCACCTAACACTGTCTCTATACCATGAGATCAATAATATAGTACATAAATCAACAAATATATACGGCTCATATATTTCCTCTGCCCATGCTTTTGTTACTTCAATTACTCTGATCTATCCACAAGTAAATTGAAGTTAACATTTGATTAAATATTTTCAGCAGTTATAACTGTAATTTCTTATATCTACTGTACATATATAGAGTTAAAATATTTCATAATACAGGATTGATTATTAGTTTTTTATTAATCATTACAGAAGGAGACTAATTTTAAGATGTTACTTAAATCTTAGCCAAGCATAATTAACTTACTAATATTTCTAAACTATCACACCCTGTTTTTAACATGAATCTTTACTTTATGACCTAGGCCAGTGCTTTAATGAGACTATGTACTCATCACTATGTTTTAACACCTAATCTTAATTTTTGTGATGAATCATCAAATTACATGGCTCATAGTTTTCCTCAGCCCATGCTTTTGTTACTTTAATTACAATATAGCTAATATATTTATAGTTAATCAAATCTCATAATCTTATTGTTTACATGTATAAATCACATTTATCTTGATATTGTGATCAATATTATAGCACTTAAAGGGATTGTAAAGAGGGGTTCTAAATTCTAATGTATGTTTATTGGGGACATTGACAGATGAATATGCACCATTCCAATCAGATGTCTGTAGTTCCTGCAATTCCACTAAAATAAGTGTTTAATCATGTCAATTGACTAATTATAAATGTGATAAAGCAAATTCTGCGATTAGTGACATCATCAAACAATTAGTTTTTGAGGAATTGCAGGAACCACAGACATCTGACTAAATAATGGAATGGTGCCATAAATGTCTCCAATACACATAAAAAATTCAAAAACCTCTTTACTGTCCCTTTAAATCATCAAATGACATGGCTCATATCTTTCCTGGGTTGTAATATCTATTAGTATATAGGTACTGTTATAATTACATCATATATTTCCTGGGTTGTAATATCTATTAGTATATAGGTACTGTTATAATTACATCATATCTTTCCTGGGTTGTAATATCTACTAGTATATAGGTACTGTTATAATTACATCATATCTTTCCTGGGTTGTAATATCTACTAGTATATAGGTACTGTTATAATTACATCATATATTTCCTGCAGCTGTAACACTTTATTTTTTTATAGTAATGTTATAAACCACTAATAATCACTAGAATATACTCATAACTTCCTTATATTGCTATTATTAATTACACTCTCTTTATCACCTAAATATCTATATCACTATTTCAAAGTGTTAAAATAATGTCACATCTTTCCTTCTGATATAACTACATAGCACCTAAGAAATATATTATGAAACTCAATTATATCCTCAGCACATGCTTCTGTGACTTTTTATGATGTCCATGCACGTTTTATCACCTAAATATCTACATCACTATTTCAAAGTGTTAAAATAATGTCACATATTTTCTTCTGATATAACTACATAGCACCTAAGAAATATATTATGAAACTCAATTATATCCTCAGCACATGCTTTCGTAACAATTTAACATTTCCTTTACACCTAATCATCTAAAAGTCCTCTAACTATTATGTAGTGTTATTATTATGAGAGATATTTTCAGCTGATATAACTAGATAATATTAAAGTTTACAATCACTATAACAAGATGATAAATTGTATTACACAGTGATATCATTATTATTATTATTATTATTAAAAACTCATTAAACAAATATGTTAAATATGAATATTTATGATCAACATTTTTCTGATATATATATTCAAGGAAATCAATCGGGACCAAAGAATATGTTGGATTATATACGCAGAATGTGGTATAAGTCAGGAGTCAGAGATCACTGTATTTAAATTTTAAATTTATAAGACTATGAACAGTAGTTTATCTATAATTTTGAATAATTTCGTAACCACAGTTTCACAAACTTCTGATTAAATAAAAACAAAATAAAATATATTTATGACTATATTATTGTCCTGTTATTTACTGCCTTCTTCAGAAATACCCAAATAGATCTCGATAACATCTTATTCCGTTATTTTACTTGAATAAAATGTGATCGAGATCTATTGTGGGTGTTTCTGAAGAAGGCAGTAAGCTGAAATGTCAAATAACAGGACAATAATATAGTTTTAATTGGTTTCCCCTTTTTGGGGATTTTTTGTGATATAATTTAATATATTTATGACTAAAACATAAACTGTTAAAACACAAACAGAAAACTGATATATCTATTCAAATTGTAATCACCAACCTACAACATTGGACAGTTGTATTATACCTACAGTATCAAAATATTAATATATAACAGGTACTTGTGGACAGGATAGGCCTCCTGGTTCCCAACCTGAGGTGTTTTCACTGGCCCCAGATTATTTTTCAACCTATTGAGTCCCAAAAAACAACATGAAATTTGTAGACTGAATAGGGGCTTGTAGAGTGTGTTGCCATTGATTCAGGCTTATTTTTCTGGAAAACCTGTGGCCACTCCAAGATTGAGATTGTGAACTAGAAATACCTTTAAAAAGTCGACATAGAAAATAATAATTGTATTGGTATATTTATCATTCAAAGTTTGGTTTGATCGAGTCATTGGGAATAAAAATTAATATGAATTATAAATTTCCTGTAGAAAAGTTTAATGAATAAAAAGTTGTTTAATTAATCATTGATCACTTTCCTTGTAAACACCAGTTTCCTTGTAAATTATAATTTCCTTTGATTTATACAAACTTTTAAAGTCACTTTTTAACATTAGAGAATAATCTTTGAAATAAAAAAGGTCGTAGCTGGTTTTTCTTTCAGTATTCTTTAGAGACTGGGAATGTGAAATTTGACTTTAAACTGAACGCTTGTAAAAGAAATATGTCCATGATCAGTTTTGTACCTTAAAACGCAGCAATTCTCATATTTGTTCCAGCAGGTCTATAGCTAGACCAAGGTCTAAGGTGGGCCAAATTTTTCAAGGAGGTTCAACTATGTGACTCAGCATGTCATTCAAGTCATTTAAACTATTCAGGGAGCAGCCCCTCTGAGGTAGGAGACTGTCACCAGGTCATTGATAGAAACTATACAAAGGTTTGATTAATATGACCTTGACAGCACAAATGAAAATATTCAGACAACTATAAAATGTTAAAATTGTCAGACATTTTAAGTGGACATTTCCTCATAGAATAGCTACTTATTTCAACTTAGTTTATCATTGACTTTATTAAATGGAGTTAGTGCCCTTTCCAGGCTTATTTACTAGAGTTAATGGTTTCTGTGGTTGATTGATACGGAAGGTAATATATGGTTGAATATGTCTTGTGTGAGTTTTTTTGGGAGAAGGGTGTCTTTTTCAAAAGTAATTTAGGAAGAGATAGTACATAATATACCCAGGTCCATAGGGGCCTGGGGGGGGGGGGGGGACTGGGGGTGTAACCTACCTGTCTAATCTGTGAGAGTCGAGATGTTACTATATGAGGGGTAGTAGAGATATGATCCGTATCCTCCTCCTGTGTAACAAGATGGCCGTCCCTCTCCTTCTCTGTTTTAAGATTCTCTGATTCCTTGTCATTTTCTTCTAGACTGTTGTTATTCTGAAATATGACAACATAATCTTAATCCAGACATCTTGCCGAGTGGTGTAAGGTATACCCATAACAGCAGATAGATAGTAGCTTGCCAGCTTGCAGGCAGCAATAACCAATCACAGAAGACTTTATGATCACCAATACCACTGGTAGTACAGCTATTTATTTGAAGTATACTGATTTTGGTGTGATAATAAATGACCCAAGTACTAACGATCTGCACTCCAAAACGAAATCCAAAATCCAAATAACATATTGGAATATAAGATGATATCTAATGCTTTCAATTGATATACAACGTTTCGTCAAAAATCATTAATTTCACAATATAATTTGGATGTATAAAAAACACATGCAATGGTAGAGGACTGTATTCTCTATTGTATCTAGCAGCCATTGTAGCCAGAGATAAACTTGGTGAACAACAATAAAAAGAGGCTGTTTAAAACAGACCTGTTGTGGTGGACTGCGGTCTAAGAAGCTGGACAGATGAACTGGGTGGACAACAATAAAATGAGGGGGTATGAAAGAATGACCTACCAGTGGTGGTGGACTGTGTAATTTAGGAGGGAATGTTGTATCATCTGTTTTATTATTCACGTTAGTTTTCATATGAGCAATCCAATCCTCTCTCGTCACACCAACTGATATCGGACCCTTATGTTTATCATCTGAAATATCAACATAGAAATATTCATAATATCTTTTATACAAACTAGTTCTTGGCATTGAAAACCATCAAAGTTTACAGCATCATTACAGTTAGGCCTAGCTTGAGAAGGAGTTTATTTGTGGTTTGAGCAAGATCTTTTCTACATGCTAGTTGATGAGATTGAAGCAGCATGTTGTACACAAATATAATTTACAGCATCACTGGTAGGGGATTGTTTGAGAGTTAAGAATGAGTTCCATTTAGTGGTTACTAGATTGTACATTGACATGTCTCCTACTTACCTTTCAGTGATGTAAGTTAGAGGGGAGAGCTAACAAAAAAAGTGTCTTATTGATAAAATGGTACAATAAACCACGGCTCTTCAGGCCACATACAGGTACCCAAACACGAGAAAAATAGCAAGATTTCTATTCATGGTATTTCCAGAAATATTCTCTAACACTGTGTTAATTTTAATTCTAATAGAAAAGAAACATACCATATTGTACAGGATGTGAGACAGTGTTTTTTCTGACTATATTGAGAGATAAATTCTCCATACCACTATCTCTAGATTCACTTAGACTCTGTAATTATACAAAATATTACAAAATTATACAAAATATTACAAAATATTACAAAATTATACAAAATATTACAAAATTATACAAATTATTACAAAATAATACAATTTAGTAAAAAATATGGCCAAAATATTACAATTTCATTCAAAATATACAATTTTTATTTCTCTGTATAGACAAGCATTTCATATTATTATTTCACGAAGTAAAACTTGAGGTAACTTGTTATAATTGATCATTTATGAGTTGGTAAACTGTTCAACCAAAAACAATCTTATCTATTTGTACAGTTATATTAAAATTTAACAATAGGAAATTCAAGTTTTTATTAGAACATGATTCGAGGTAAAGTTATACAATTGACCAAACCCTACAATTTGTTGGATCTGTGAAATAAGTTTATCTATTTCAACAAATGTATTAAAAATTAAAGAACAATGAAACGAGACCGTCTATTGAGCTCTAATTACTCTCTAGACATGATATAAATAACTTATACAACACGATTTAACATCATTATATACACCGTATTTACATTGTTTACTATACTTAATAATAACTTGAACATAATATTCACAAGCTCGATTCTTTATTAGTCTAATGACCTTAAATAAGTCATCTTCAAATCATAATTCCAGTCGACCCAGCTGTAAATGGGTACGGATAATCCGGGAAAGATCAATACCAAGAGGTTTGGCCAAGAACCAGCTGGTAGAAAAGATCCTTAACTGTGAACCTAAGTTGTTATCCTTGTAAAATATAGATGGCACCAGTCCTGAAATAAGTTATCCCTGAAATCTAACTTAGAAATCGATTAATCTATTGATATAACATGATACATTTATATGAAGAAATATCTACACCATCAAATATCAGATGTATACACCACACCAAAAAACACACCAACAACAGTGACTTTATGTGGTAGCTAGGTTAATGAAAACACACATATCAAAACTTTTCAAAAACTGATTTTACAACATTTTATATTATTCTTACCAAATTACCATACTTTATATAGAGTCTTAAATTCTAATCAGTTATAAAACTGGAAACTTTTTAACTTTCCTGATTATATCAAATCTAAATCAACTTATAAAATATCATTAAAACACCCAAATATTGAAGAACTTGTTAATTTCAAGTTACTTCAGTTATATTGATTAAAATTAGGTCATAATGTTACAAATTTCTAACTGAACTGACTAAATAATTAGGTCATGATTTAACAAATTAAAGTGAATAATAAACTAGTGTCCAAAAGAAACGATACCACCTGTTTGCAACGACATAAAAGAAAAACTAAACAAAGCAGAAGTTTAGGATTGGTGTTATGCTTTTGAGAAATTCTTTCACAACATCTGTACAAAAATTTCATTTCAATAAAATCTGTACAACCAATATGACAAGCCTTTAAAGATGGGTGGGGTTGAAAAAAGAACATTTCGTTAGAGCACTGATCACAGAAACAACAGGAAATGTCACACCACAAGTCAAGTCAGTAGCGGGTATGTCCACCGTGAGCATCAATACATGCCAGAACACGCATGAGTGCTCGATGGGATTCATGTCCGGTGAACATGCGGGCCATGGCAAAACCTGTACGTTGGCGTTGGCAAGAAAGTTCTGTGTCAATCTTGCTGTGTGTGGCCTTGCATTGTCATGTTGGAAAAGGAGTCCACGAGGCTGTTGCTGAATAAAGGGCACCACAACAGGCCGTAGGATGTCGTCAATATAACGCTGTGCATTCAGGTTTCCACGAATTTCGACAAGCCTCGTTTTGACGTCACCACATATGCCACCCCAAACCATTAACCCTCCACCTCCAAACGGTCGGATCTGTTGGATACAGTTAGGCGCCAAACGTTCACCAAATCGTCGGTATACAAGCTGCCATCCATCGTTTTTGAAGATGAGGAATCTGCTCTCATTAGAGAACATATCACGTGCCCAGTCCCACCGTTGCCAACGTCGAACTCGCCCGGCCCAGATCAGTCTGTTGTTCCGGTGTCGAGGCGTCAGGAGCGGTCCGCGGTAGGGATACCATACTGCCGTAGTCTCCTGTAGACGGTCTGTCGACTGATCCTGTGTCCCAGTGCTGTAGCCGCCGTGGACGTCGCCGTTACGGTGCGGTTCCTCAGTCGTAATACCCGGATGTACCGAACTTAATGGGGCGTGGTTACTCGTGGTCTTCCACTCCTGGGCCTGTCTGACGTGCCCCACGCTGACGTAACCGCTGCATCAACCTGGTGATAGTGATGCGTGCGCAGCCCAACCTTCTGGCGACGTCGACGTGTGTCGCTCCTTGTTGGACCATTCCAACGGCTCTCTCTCGATGCCTGTCAAACGTGGCATATCTTGTGTTCTTTTTGTTGCTGTGATATCAACGTGTCTGATCAGCCGTTTTATACAGTTTTTATGCAAGTGCAGAACATGCTAGAGAGGGAAATGTCACTTTCACGAAATTTACGTTTTTTCCCGGAAGTGATCACGTGTTCCCGGTATTTTTATCGACTATGCTGTGTTTGGGATGTGCAATACAAATTGGCATGTTTTCATATTAGACAATTCACTTAGTAAAAAACAATTTTGAAAATAAGTCGGTATCGTTTCTTTTGGACACTAGTTTACTTTACTTTTAATTCTAGACAGTTATATACCGGTAACTATCTACTATCTTAGAAGACTATTTAAAATTTAATAGTAATAACTTACCAATTTCATCATAGTCCAAATTATCATAAATACCTACATCTTAATCCAAATTACATGAATTATATCTACATTATTAATATTAATATTAACTTTTAAACTTTCTAACAATAACACCTCTTAACAGGAATAATATCTTCTTATAATCCAGTTCAAATAATAAAACTTCTAATATTACTACACTTTCCTTATACTAACTTCTATTACTAATATCATTATAGTATACTTTATAAAACATTCACCAATCACTGGTTTACTGTATAATAATCACTCAATGTATTCAAGTTTCACCTTCCTCCTAGACAAGAAGTAGAAATAACATATTTTATGCTCGAGTTATTCTACTTTTCCTAATTTATAAAATATTATCTTTTTAATTGAATAATAATTGAATTGTAATATAGTGATTCATACCCAGGGTGTTTTATTTCATTCTGTTTATGTGCTCAATTTACAGTTAACCAGTTAAGACAAGACAATATACGCCCACAAAAATAAGATACTCTCAAAACAAATTTTGTGAAGCATCCTGTAGTTGTGTTTTTTTTCCCCTGACAAAACACGACTTTTAGAAAATGACCAGTCTTCGAAATCTGACTTTTAATGGCTGAAAAATTCAACTTCATATCTCAAAAATCGTTCTTAATAACCTTAAAATCTGATGAAATATCTCAAAAATGAGCAACTTAGTAATTTTTAGACAAGTTTTCAAAATCAGGTAAAGTGAAAACATGAAAAAAACGATGGCCCTCCATCTTACAATTACCTCTGATGTCCTGATTAAACTAAAAGTAAACTGATGTGTAAGCTATATTAAAGTATATCAGTCAGTATTATAAACTGTGTGTTTATGGGAAAGAGATTAAACGCGGGATGTAATTAATAAGTTAATTAAGACACGTAGGTCATTATGACATATCTATCTTAATATTAACATAAAAACATAATCACTAATTACACTGAAAACCATCATATTAATATCATCTAAATCACAATCTATTAACTCATGAAATCAATACGTTTGACCAGGGTTGTTGAATTATTTTTTTGTCAACCGGACATTTTTCAACGAAATGTGAAATTTGATTGCAATTTTCCCTTGAGAGAAGGTCTAGATAATATGTATTTGATAAGTGATAGAGTCTGTGAAGGTTTCAAATCATTTATAGACAACAACTGTCAATAGAGGAAATAAAATTCATGAAAAATATAAGAAATGAACAGAAAAATCTCATGTAGACAGTATTCTCACCAAAACATGTCATCTCTAATCACAATTTTTATAACTGGTAATACACAAAGAGAAAGACTTATTGGAGATACAAGAAATATAAGAATTAGATGATCTTGGTACCAGTAAGCCAACCCAGAGGGTGTAAAGAGAGCTAACAATTGTCAATAGAACAAATAAAATTCATGGAAAATAAAGCCAGACCGGATTATTCGGAGGGGTAAGTAATATATCTAGAGGGGTAAGTAATATATCTAGAGGGGTAAGTAATATATCAGGAGGAGTATGGTGTATGATGTTTAGTTACAGTAATAGAATTGGTCGATTGTCAGAATTTTTTCAGGGGCAATCTATTTTTCGTAGCTTTAGTGACATAAGATTTATTGGAAGTACAAATTGTTGATTAGGTGTTAAAAGAAAAACTCATCTAAAAATTTTCTCATCGAAAGAAGTGATGATCAGGTTTTATCATCCATAACAGTATCTCTTATCATTGAGCCAACCTAGAGGGTGTAATATATTATTTGAAAGAGCTGTTGATTAGGAGCTGATGGAAAAACTCAACTAGACATTCTCATCAGAACATGATCTTCAATAGCAATGAGCCAACCTGCAGGATGTAAAGAGTCATACACATATAGTGAGTAAAGAGTGAGATTTAATGGAGGTACAAATTGTTGATTAGGTGTTGAAAGAAAAACCCATCTAGACAATATTCTCATGAAAACAAGAGCCAAACTACAGGATGTAAAGAGTCATACAGCTATAGTGAGTAAGTGAGTGAGTGAGATTTATTTGAGATACAAATTGTTGATTAGGTGTTGAAAGAAAAACCCATCTAGACAATATTCTCATGAAAACAAGAGCCAAACTACAGGATGTAAAGAGTCATACAGCTATAGTGAGTAAGTGAGTGAGTGAGATTTATTTGAGATACAAATTGTTGATTAGGTGTTGAAAGAAAAACTCATCTAGACAATATTCTCATGAACACAAGATGTTAGTAATGATCAGGTTTCATCAATAATCAGTTTTCATAAACATATTGATATAACTTACAGAACTTACAGGTGTATCAGTTATCAGTCAGTCTACCTAGATGGTGTAAGAGATCATATCCAACCAAAAATCAGTTTTCAGGCCTCCAGTCTATCATAAACATATTGATAGAACTTACAGGTGTATCAGTCATCAGTCAGTCTACCTAGAGGGTGGAAAGAATCACATCCATCCAAACTAGTGGTTGGATAAAATCACATCAAGCAAAGGATATCAAGTCAAACCATACATGTGCACAGATCAGAGAAAGAAATCTAGATATTCTAGAGGGTGTAAGATATTGTATTTTCAATTTGAGGTGTATTGGGTAATAATACAGACAATACAAGTCTAGTTCTAGTTCTCAAAATATATTATAATGGACAATTTGTCTGAAGTCTGGTATTAATTAATAGAAAATTCTAAGCTTTTATAATTTCAATTACTATTTATTCTACCCTAAATCAAAATAGAATGTTTGTCTCTTTCTTTTGAATTGTGCCATGTTGAATACAAATATATCTTCAGTTGAGATATGCCAGAAAAAATTTACACCAATAGAATACAGACAAAACAGACTCTCATATACACTAAACCATCTTGTAAGACTTACAATACGAGATTGTTATAAAACACACCTAGAATTTACTGAAACATTGACAGATTATAAAAATAAACTCACAATTCCAGGTGTCACGATTTCTCTTCTCTTCTCTCTATATCGTGACCATTGCCAGATAATATTGATATTTATATAACGCAGAACAAGCTTATTAGCAAACTAACAATGGCTAATCTTCTCAAATCAAATCAACAAAATTTGGAGCCCACAAAAACAAATAATCGAAATTCACTGATTCTGTCACAATTTCAAATTCACAGAAATGTCCTTCGAACTATGACTGGTTTGTCAAAATATATAGTAACTTAGTATATTTCTTTAATCCAAACACATTCAGATTATACACACTAGTACATCAAACTACATAGGAAATCTATAAACTGAAATACTGTAAGATCTATAGGAAACTTAATACTGGGTTTCCAGAGATATTAAACAAGTTAAATCTTCCAAAGAAGTTTCCAATGATATTTGGTTGATTGGTGGATGTCAAGGTGACAAATTATCACATACATCCAGTAAACTGATATCACAGAGAATCAAACATGATATACAACTCTCTACACGACCTTATACCAGTTACAATAAACACTTGTTGATTTATCCAAAGAAAGACAATTCCATAAAATTGAAGTTCTTATACAAAAACTTAACTCTGTATCCCTACCTTCAGTTGAAGAGTAAGAAGATGAAAACAAACTAAACCTCTTAATACATCTATTAAGTCAAGTCAATTGGTGCCTGGTGTTTAAAACAAGGTGTTTACAAACCTACAACAGATGTATATAATATAGAAGGTAGAGTATCTATAAAACACAGGTAGAATTAAGCACTTTAGTTTAATACTATCTCGAGTACCTCATATACCTTTAATTACAATAGAGATAGAAACAATCATTTTTGACAAGGAAAACAATTAAAGTTCACAGGGATCCTTTCTACCAGCTGGTCCTAGGCCAAACCTCTTGGTATTAATCTTTACCCATGTACAGCTGGGTCGACTGGAATAGGAATATTGAGGTAAGATGACTTATTCAGTACCCATTTACAACTGAGTTGACTGGAATAATGAGGAAAGATGACTTATTCAGTACCATTTTACAGCTGGGCATATTGGAATTAAGTCACAGGACTTTCACTCACCGAGTTTTATACCCCTAACCAACTGGGCTACAGATCAAATTGAACTGCAACACTGATAGAGAGAAACATGTACATGTACAGAATTGGAGCAAAAAAAATTTGAATGTGAGAAATAAATATGTTTCTACTGAAAGAAAGTACACAGGTGTCTTAATAACAACAATTTCATTATACATACAGGTAATTTTCTCTAGTTATATTTGATAATAATCAATTCAATTGCATCAGGAGTGGCAACAAATTCCTCAACAGGACATTTAAAGAATGATGAAAAACAGATACTTTGCATTTGGGGCTATAAAGACATGTACGATCATTTACTTCCTGTTGTTGATTTTTCACGAATACATATTGTTTTCAACATTAGGTCTCAATAAATATATCTCTGTTATCAAGTATGATTTGCGAAACAATGGTTCAAAATCTCGTGGTGCTTAACTTTTTATTCTAGGTATATATTACTAACAGAAGATTCCAGGGTTATATTTCAAATAGATTTTTATAATAATTGTAGAATGAATCAACAACTCATAATACATCACACACCTTCAATATCTAATATCAAGGTTTACAGCGCTTGTAGGTTTGATTCCTTTAGGCTATAACATATTACTAACAGAAGATTCTAGGGTTATATTTCAATTAGAATAGAATAGATTATAATAATAATAAATACAATAGTAATACATGGAATATCTGATGATAATTTTAACTCCTAGACCATCATCTCTTTAACAAATCCTAAGATATAAAAGTTTTAGTTTGGATGAGCATACAGTCTTGGAGTTTAGTAATATCATCAGATATTCTATGTATTTTATCTATTCAGATACTTGTACCGGTAATAATCTGTTTGTAATATCAACCTGGATTCATTTTCTAACGTGTTTCACTTTAGTAGGTAAACCTCAAATTTGAGACTGAGGTATTTGATATTCATGTGTCATGTGATTTTCTAACCTGCCAATAACACTGTGT